GCATAAAGACTTAATTTACATAAAATAAAATAAAAACCTCAGACTTTTGAATGATCTGTTGTGATCCACTAATAAAGCACCCAGTTAGGAAATACTTTTAAACAGACAATAAACCTGACTTAATTAAGCATAACATCACATTTTATGTAAATGTATGACTGAGACTCACCCCCAAACTTTTCCATACTTCTTAGCACACTCCATATCGAAATTGAAAAAACCCTGAAATACATTTGCATATAGACATAGAAGAAAGAAGGATAAAAAGAGTCTTATTGCTCCAGCATCATTGGAATGCGCTGCCCAATATTATTCTACAGGAGTTACATAATTACTCACTTTAGTGTATGAGAGAAATGTGCCAAAGAAAGGCCAAGGCCTTGGTCCTGGGACTCCCAGTTTCTTAAAAAATCCATGTGGCCAAACACCATAACTTCAGTGGGATCGATAACACAGAGATATTAGACTACATAACCACATTAAATCCATTAGATGTAGATATAGATGTTACGAACTGTACAGTGTGATGAAGTACACAAATACAAGACAATTAAATTATTTTTTTTATTAAAAACAGATACAGATGCTGAACTAAAAGCTTTAACACATTATAACAATATAACGCAACAGAATACTGCATAGCCTAATAATGTTTTCTTTAACCTGTTGTGTAATACTCACATATACAGAAGTGTTAGGACCAGAAGCACCAGGGTCCAGGTCACAGACAGAGCTGGGAGATCAATCATTGTAAGTCAGCTGTCAGCCTTGCGCTGTATTCTTCAGTTGAAGTTCTACTGCACACCGACGCTGTGTTTGTATTTATTTTCATCAGTCGGCGCATGATCCGGAAAAGGGCGTGGTTTGCAGGTGAGCACGGACGACCAAATAAGGCAACACGCGACAGGTTATTAGTTTTAACACTTGACATTTTTACGTGTCGAGTTATAGGCGTTAACTATGGAATAAAATCGCTGTCAAAAATAATCGTACGTAATTCAAAGCATTTGTGTGTCATTTTAATTTACTCGTGCGTAATTTAAAAGTATTGTATGTAATTCTGTTTTTTGTCAGAGTTGGATTCCAAAATCTACGGCCACGACAGTTTACAGATACGAGATTTTGTGTGTTTGTTAGAGTACAACTCCAAAATGTACGACTATGACAGTTTACAGACACAACGCTTGTTTTCACAACAGCTCTGTTACACGCACGACATGCGAATTGCGACACGAAGTGCGGTGTGCGAAAGGACTGTCAAAAATACGTCATCATTGTCACAGGCATTACTATCCGAGGGAAGATGAATCGATTCCACAAAGTGCGCTTGCGCCCCGCCACCGTTTTAAACCACTGGCGCCAAAATGGCGGATCAGCAGCCAAGCGCTCACTCATAGTCTCAGGTAAGTGATTTTTTTTTCCTTTTTCTGTTTAAGGGTCTAATGACAGAGAGGAGTAATATTACAGAGATAGTTTAACTATAGATTAGCTCTTAGTGTTCTTAGTGTAGTTTAAAGAATTAGAATACAGCTGTTTAGGTATGGAGGACCAAACCTGCAGAAATGAAAAACAAATAAATACACAAATAAATAAATAAATGTGTGTATAAATACACGTAATCTTGTTTAAATACATATATAAATAATTAAATGTGTGATGAAAGTAGTCAAATAAATAAAATAAATTGGTGACCAAATGGAAAATGTTTAAGGAAATGCTAAACTCATCCTAACTGTTTTCTTTTAATCACTCATTTATTTCTGAATGTAGTTCCGCATTTATTTTTCCTCTGCACAACATGCTAATGAGAGGGTGTCAACCATGGACTTGCTCGGGTCTTGTGATAGCTGGGGGCGCGGCTTTCCCGCTGACAGGAGATGCATGGTGTAAATCCAGTATAGCCTAGTAAAGTCACTTTTGCCGTTCAACAGAGCAAGATACATAGAAAAACTGAGCCGTATTGTCCGTACAGTATCTGTGACTTTACAAACGACGCAACGGAATGGCCAGAGGTGTCATTTCCCGGCACTCGATATTCGCAAATCTAGGGACCGTCTCTAAAGTTACATACGACATTGGTATACACTTTTCTAACTTCAATAGCATTTGAGGAAAATTACTTACAGTAACACAACCAACTGTGAAGTGTTCATGTAGTTCTCAGTTATAATGCACACCTTTTAGATTTTTGATATTTATTAAAATAAACTGTCAAATCATATGTAAATATTGCTGTTTTTTTTCTTTACAAAAAACAATAATTTGTTGTAACTGTAATTTCTACAGGAAGTTTTTTTTTTTTACAGTGTAGATATGAATTTACAGTTTATTTCAATAAATATCAAAAATCTAAAAGGTGTGCATTATAACTGAGACCTACATGAACACTTCACAGTTGGTTGTGTTACTGTAAGTCATTTTCCTCAAATGCTATTGAGCTTTAAATTATGATATATATTTTGTGTTTGAGCCCATTCGGTAGTGAAATAAACAACATATTTATATATGATTTGACAGTTTATTTTAATAAATATCAAAAATCTAAAAGTAATTTTCCTCAAATGCTATTGAAGTTAGAAAAGTGTATACCAATGGCGTATGTAACTTTAGAGACGGTCCCTAGATTTGCGAATATCGAGTGCCGGGAAATGACACCTCTGGCCATTCCGTTGCGTCGTTTGTAAAGTCACAGATACTGTACGGACAATACGGCTCAGTTTTTCTATGTATCTTGCTCTGTTGAACGGCAAAAGTGACTTTACTAGGCTATACTGGATTTACACCATGCATCTCCTGTCAGCGGGAAAGCCGCGCCCCCAGCTATCACAAGACCCGAGCAAGTCCATGGTTGACACCCTCTCATTAGCATGTTGTGCAGAGGAAAAATAAATGCGGAACTACATTCAGAAATAAATGAGTGATTAAAAGAAAACAGTTAGGATGAGTTTAGCATTTCCTTAAACATTTTCCATTTGGTCACCAATTTATTTTATTTATTTGACTACTTTCATCACACATTTAATTATTTATATATGTATTTAAACAAGATTACGTGTATTTATACACACATTTATTTATTTATTTATTTGCGTATTTATTTATTTACACACACATTTATTTATTTATTTGTGTATTTATTTGTTTTTAATTTCTGCAGGTTTGGTCCTCCATACCTAAACAGCTGTATTCTAATTCTTTAAACACCTAAATGTACACTAAGAGCTAATCTATAGTTAAACTATCTCTGTAATATTACTCCTCTCTGTCATTAGTGATAACTAACCCTTAAACATGTCCGAATTAGAAAAAGAAAAAAAAAATCACTTACCTGAGACGATGAGTGAGCGCTTGGCTGCTGATCCGCCATTTTGGCGCCAGTGGTTTAAAACGGTGGCGGGGCGCAAGCGCACTTTGTGGAATCGATTCATCTTCCCTCGGATAGTAATGCCTGTGACAATGATGACGTATTTTTGACAGTCCTTTCGCACACCGCACTTCGTGTCGCAATTCGCATGTCGTGCGTGTAACAGAGCTGTTGTGAAAACAAGCGTTGTGTCTGTAAACTGTCATAGTCGTACATTTTGGAGTTGTACTCTAACAAACACACAAAATCTCGTATCTGTAAACTGTCGTGGCCGTAGATTTTGGAATCCAACTCTGACAAAAAACAGAATTACATACAATACTTTTAAATTACGCACGAGTAAATTAAAATGACACAAATGCTTTGAATTACGTACGATTATTTTTGACAGCGATTTTATTCCATAGTTAACTGCACTAAGCAGCAGAGGTTACATAAGTCTTCAGTTATGTCTTTATTAGGAAACATACATAAAAACGACGAAAGACACAAACAACCGAAACCAAGTGTGTCCTAAGTGTCAAATAAAGTAGCACATCGATTTTACTCACCTTAGAAGACAGTAAAGCCCCGCGACTTCATAAAACACACTTCCGCTGTGTTCTGTTGCACAATTAAAAACATTAGGAGTCCTTTCTTCTTCTTCTTCTTCTTCTTCTTCTTCTTCTTCTTGTTGCTTTACGGCGGATCGCAGACTTATAAGTGCATTACCGCCACCTATATCTCAAATGGACCATTGACACTCTATCTACAATCTCCTGATTAACCTAGCAACCCACAGTTCTGCTCCAACCTGATACTCTTCCCCTATCCACTGTTGATTGTATATGATACAAATGCCTACCTTTGGTATCTATGTCCCAATACTGCTGCCATAATTTCCAAATATTCATTTTGATAATTGATTTAATTTCTGACCTACTAAGAGGAATCTGATTATCAAATTAGGAGTCCTTTCATTGCATTTTAACAGTTCATAGTGACACCCATTGGACAAAAAGTGTAACTGAGTTCAGTCTAATTTTATATATAGGCTATATATACGTATATAATATACACATGTATATCATTTATGATGACGTGATTTTATAACCTGCGAATGGATGCTTAATATGTTCCAGTGCCGATTTAAAAATGTGTGTTGGCGTGTTAAATGTTATGAATGCCGATCAGAGAATCTATTTTTTTTTTTAGCTTCATGTATTTAATTATACAAAAGTAATTAATATTGATGCTAGTTTTGTTTCAATTGGCATGTCCAGTAACATTATATATATTTTTAATAGCTTGTTGAGTGAACACAAAACCACATTAGTTAACATTCAGACCAGAGAAAATGATTTCAAGAATGCAGATTTTATCTGAAAGGATGCAGTGATTTTAGGATAATGATGTTGCTCATACATGTCAGGTCAGTCCAAGTTGTCATTTTTATACATACTTTTTAACACTGATGATGATGATTATTTTGCACAACATTTGTTGTTTTGCTTTGTTACCTTTACATTTATCTGTTTCATGAATTGTTAGTTTAGTTTAAATTGGGCTGAAAAAGGTAATTTTATGTATATTATATTTCACACCTTTCTCCTTTTTTTTCTCAAATTGTTGCAACAACAAAAAACTGTCTATAGATTCCCCAACATTCAGCCAACAGGCATGACAGAGATACAAAATACAGCTAGTCTATTCTGTGATAAAAGTGACGATTTGTTTAAATGCTTTCCCAAATCTGTGTGAAACTTTTTTTTTTCTGTCATGATTTATTGTGCATGTTGACGTATTATCAGGATGACATTGTAGTTGGAGGCATTTAACTGAACAACAAACATTTAATTTATCATAAAAAAATCTTTACTTCATGAACGCCCATGACATACACTTGTGCTAAAACAGTTGGTGGGATTGAAACAAACATTTCCATAACAGTACACTCTTGTTTGATTACTGTACTTCTTGTGTTGGCATTTTCAAGAACTGCAAAAATTCATACTTCTTGTGAAAGAACAACGGAACTACTTTACGTCACTTCTGAAGAACACTACAGTGAACAACAAAATTCATACAAATTAATTCTAAAATCGCACTGTAAAATTACACTTTTTACAAGCCTGTAAAAAAGCAAATATTCCATCAAAAGAAGGAAACTGAAATGTTTATGGCTCAAAAGTGCAGAACAGATGTGCAAAGCAACCGCATACTGATCTCCTCACATACAATTCATTCATTATCGTTCATTAAATCATTTCAAGTGAGTGTTTGCAGTTCCTAAGCGAGGCCAAACAGACAGGAACAAAACAAGAAGAGTAAAAGCCAAATAAAAACAACAACAACTATGAACTTGTTGATATGTGTGAGAATGAGCAATGGCACAAATCACAACACATCTGGCACTGTCTCACCGTCTGATTACACAGAGGCAGGGAACCAGAGCTGTCTGGCTTCTTCTAACAGCCTCCGTAGGTTTTCTTGCTGGTGAGTCTATAGAGAATATACTGAAAACAACCGTGCTTCATTATCCAGGCCACGTGAACGCGAATCAAATCCATTAGAGAATTTACATTTTATGACCTTTACGATCTCGAGTGCAACATGTATATATAGCGACACTGACAGTGAGATGAGATTATTCAGACAAGAGTATACAGTAATTACAGCGTGTTTTTCACTTAGCTTTTTCCTTAAGTTCTTTTCAATGTGGTAAGGGCAGGAATGTTAAGTGTGAATATATGCCGCTCTTTAGAGCGAGAATGTCTCGTCACATGTACAGGCGTTTTCTGTTGCGTCCTGCTCATTAAAACCAGACATTTATGCATCTTTCACAACCAAGGCTGCAAACAGGAGGGGCATGTACATTAACAGTAACTCTGGTTAGTCTTCGGTATTGGCATATAAAAATCATTTCTTCACCCCTTCTCTTAATAATGATCTTGATCACTAATCGAGTACATTCAGGATCCAGCAACTCGATGAGCGGTCACATGTGATGTCTCTTGTAGTGCTCGTGGTGATAGTACTGTGCGAAACCAGAGAATTTCCTCTGCAACTATGTTGTCTGAGCCGCAAAGAGGGGTCCGGGTCCTCTTGTATGTCACACGAACGAGGAGAAGCCTGTGACGGGCGTCCGTGAGCCTGGCGCGGGCTGGCCGGTGGGGGTGTAGACCCCGCCAACGCTGTGCTGCGTGACCACTGTCTGATAGTAGGACTCGGTGTCCCCGCTGGCACATTCATCATAGGAACAGGCCAGTGTTTGCTTCAGCCCCTTCTGCTGCCGCTTCCACGAGTTGAAGTATGACGGGTCGCTCATGTAGTGATTCACGAACGAGTGTTTGATCGGCTCCTCTTCGCACTCGCTGTCTGTGGCCTGATCATAGAAATATGAGAGGGGAAATCACACACTTGGAAGATTTATGTTTGCGATATCTTGTATGCAAGAGATAATGGAAAGTCAGCTGGTCGAAGAAAACCCCAATTGACCCTTCGCAAAAACCCGCCCTCATTCGTTAATGTTGCTATGTCCGACAAGCCATGCTGCTCTCACACCACACATCATGTTCTCACGTAGTGAAAAATACATTGCGAAACGGACAAGACAGAGCAGGTTACTATAAGTATGAAGCAAAGTCTCAGCTTTCAAATTTGGTCATTTTTTAAAAGAAATTTAAACAATAAATACCGTTTTGTGGCTCTTTAAAGTGTCATGACAGATCACTGTAGTGCCTTAGTTCAAGCAGCACATGAACCGATCATCTCTTCCTCTTTACTAATTATATCGCGAAATAAACATGAATGAACACCAGAAGGTATCTTGTTTCAACCGAGGAAAGACATCAATACACACCACTTTTCAAGTTCAAATCCACCAACGTTAATCTACTCTCCGGTCTGGTTTGGCAGATTTGGCGTTATGACTGGTCAGATCGCCTGTCAATCAAACTCTCTGCAAAGGGTTAATTGGGTAGATATGCATCACTCCACCTCAGACTCTGACATCTCTGCAGGCCTCTCTGTCAGCGCGGTGCTCTCTGTGGAAACCACGCCGTTGTAGTTGCTACAGATGTCTTCGTCGGAATAGCGCAGTCCGGCTGGATTGGGTCGGGGAGGGGACCTGCTTGGAGACAAAAGGAAGTGGTAAGGGCGTATGTGACGTAAGCCAATTATAAACTTGCTCTGTTGTGCGTCTTGAGGAACATAATCTCTTTGTTTGCCTACCTCCCTTTATCCTAACCCTAAGTGATACTGTAGCAACTTAAAGTGCATAGGTTTGGCAAAATTTTGGAGACAAAATGTTTCAATGTATAAAGCACAGCTCACTCTTAAGTCACTTTCAAACCAAATAGCCTTCTGTTGGCCAATCTGGCAAATTCGTTGAACCTGTTGCGAAATCTGTGTGGGGAACATGAAATTCCCAATCATGTGGATTCCTATCGAAATGACTATTTCAACACATTTACTGACTGGTTAAACTGGTAAGATTGCTTTTATGAAATACCACAAAAATATCAAAACCGTATTGTGAATTCATCAGATGACGGCGCATATATAAGCTGTGTGGTTACAGTACCTGGTGCCATTCTTCCTCAAGAAGACACCCTTGACATGAACAGGCCTGCTGTTGAGCTCTAGAGCCGTGAAGCCTCCATTGTCCAGCGTGACTGTCTCCTCCACCGTGGACACAGCTTTACCTACAGCAGTCAGCATATCATCATCACAGCAAAAACATCACCTGGGTTAAACTTTAATCGCTGTTTGCTGGACGGCGTGGGAGTCTGAGTGGGCGGACGTGTTTATCTGGATGAATATGTATGTGAATTTACAGCATATAATGATTATGTGAGGGAGGATGGATGTGTCATGAGAAGGCTGAAGAGGTTTAGTTCAGGTCACCTGTTCCACAGCTCTTGTACTTCCTGTTCTGTCCGTGCAAGACGAGACCAAAAACCACCAGCAACAGCAGAATCAGGCCGCACAACGCCAACACGATGAGAAACCACCACTCCTCATAAAACGGGGTGTCCTGTTGGGCTGTTTATGACAAAGAGAAATGGAATATAAAGAAATAAAGAAATGTACATTGTTTACATTTTTGCAGATTTTGGGCAGTCAGACTTGAAAGATTTCAATGAAATCATGTAGTGCGTGGTGGGGTGATTCACGAACGAGTGTTTGATCGGCTCCTCTTCGCACTCGCTGTCTGTGGCCTGATCATGGAAATATGAGAGTGGAAATCACACACTTGGAAGATTTATGTTTGCGATATCTTGTATGCAAGAGATAATGGAAAGTCAGCTGGTCGAAGAAAACCCCAATTGACCCTTCGCAAAAACCCGCCCTCATTCGTTAATGTTGCTATGTCCGACAAGCCATGCTGCTCTCACACCACACATCATGTTCTCACGTAGTGAAAAATACATTGCGAAACGGACAAGACAGAGCAGGTTACTATAAGTATGAAGCAAAGTCTCAGCTTTCAAATTTGGTCATTTTTTAAAAGAAATTTAAACAATAAATACCGTTTTGTGGCTCTTTAAAGTGTCATGACAGATCACTGTAGTGCCTTAGTTCAAGCAGCACATGAACCGATCATCTCTTCCTCTTTACTAATTATATCGCGAAATAAACATGAATGAACACCAGAAGGTATCTTGTTTCAACCGAGGAAAGACATCAATACACACCACTTTTCAAGTTCAAATCCACCAACGTTAATCTACTCTCCGGTCTGGTTTGGCAGATTTGGCGTTATGACTGGTCAGATCGCCTGTCAATCAAACTCTCTGCAAAGGGTTAATTGGGTAGATATGCATCACTCCACCTCAGACTCTGACATCTCTGCAGGCCTCTCTGTCAGCGCGGTGCTCTCTGTGGAAACCACGCCGTTGTAGTTGCTACAGATGTCTTCGTCGGAATAGCGCAGTCCGGCTGGATTGGGTCGGGGAGGGGACCTGCTTGGAGACAAAAGGAAGTGGTAAGGGCGTATGTGACGTAAGCCAATTATAAACTTGCTCTGTTGTGCGTCTTGAGGAACATAATCTCTTTGTTTGCCTACCTCCCTTTATCCTAACCCTAAGTGATACTGTAGCAACTTAAAGTGCATAGGTTTGGCAAAATTTTGGAGACAAAATGTTTCAATGTATAAAGCACAGCTCACTCTTAAGTCACTTTCAAACCAAATAGCCTTCTGTTGGCCAATCTGGCAAATTCGTTGAACCTGTTGCGAAATCTGTGTGGGGAACATGAAATTCCCAATCATGTGGATTCCTATCGAAATGACTATTTCAACACATTTACTGACTGGTTAAACTGGTAAGATTGCTTTTATGAAATACCACAAAAATATCAAAACCGTATTGTGAATTCATCAGATGACGGCGCATATATAAGCTGTGTGGTTACAGTACCTGGTGCCATTCTTCCTCAAGAAGACACCCTTGACATGAACAGGCCTGCTGTTGAGCTCTAGAGCCGTGAAGCCTCCATTGTCCAGCGTGACTGTCTCCTCCACCGTGGACACAGCTTTACCTACAGCAGTCAGCATATCATCATCACAGCAAAAACATCACCTGGGTTAAACTTTAATCGCTGTTTGCTGGACGGCGTGGGAGTCTGAGTGGGCGGACGTGTTTATCTGGATGAATATGTATGTGAATTTACAGCATATAATGATTATGTGAGGGAGGATGGATGTGTCATGAGAAGGCTGAAGAGGTTTAGTTCAGGTCACCTGTTCCACAGCTCTTGTACTTCCTGTTCTGTCCGTGCAAGACGAGACCAAAAACCACCAGCAACAGCAGAATCAGGCCGCACAACGCCAACACGATGAGAAACCACCACTCCTCATAAAACGGGGTGTCCTGTTGGGCTGTTTATGACAAAGAGAAATGGAATATAAAGAAATAAAGAAATGTACATTGTTTACATTTTTGCAGATTTTGGGCAGTCAGACTTGAAAGATTTCAATGAAATCATGTAGTGCGTGGTGGGCACAGAAGCTTGATGATTCCATCCAATCTGAGGATATCAAAATTTTAGAACACATGTTGCTTTCATTTGTTTTCATTTAAGTGAACAGCCTTAAATAAGGGTGTAAACAGGGTCTAAAGGTTTTAAGCTTGTCCACTTTTGACCACTTCCTGAAGTAGTTCAAAACGCTGTATTATTCGACTGCATTGCTTTTGTTGCATAGGCATTCATGTGGTTGAATGAGTTTTTACAGCCACAAAAGACTGCCTACTCACTGTCCACTGACCTAACCTGTGAGCGTAATGGGACGTGTTTTGCGGACACGCACCAAACCCAAGATTTCAACTTTGCTATTTTGGACCAAAAGCACACCGATTGAAATTGTGGTTACCATTTGTATCCTTTCCATTCCCTTCCTTTCCCACTCGCTTGTAAGCAGTGTAATGGCTTCATTTATTCAATTGTACTTGTGTGCCGCACTTGGTGCTCCAGTGAAAGTGATGTAGAGCTTGACGAAATTAGAGGGGACAAAATCCAAACACAAATAGTCACAGGAGATGCTTTTAAAACTTTTTAAAGAGCTTTTTTTTTTTTTTTTAATTGAAGCGACCCATATATACAGTATGTATATGATAGGACAGTGAAGAGCTGACAGGAAGCGAAGTGGGAGAGAGAGGGGGATGGGATCGGGAAAGGAACTCGAACTGGGATTCGAATTCGGGACACCCCTTAGCTCAACGGCGCTGTATGTTGGCATGCTGACCACAAGGCTATCGGCGCTGGCAAAAAACAAAAATTATTTATTTATTTATAATAATAATAAATTATTATTATTATTCCAATTCTGAATGGATTATATATAGCCAAGAAAGCGCGCAAAGAGCGCTCCCTTAATAACCGCTGAAAAACCGTCACTGATTTCAGTTTATCGCAAGAAAATTCCATTATAATCAATGATTCTCTCTACACTGTGCAATAAATCTTTTATTTACGTCGCGTCTACACTTTGTTTATTATAATGAGAGGATTAGCTTGCAGAACTCAGGACTGAACAAAAATGCCAGCGTTTTGAGCGGTGAGTGGATTCTGAGTAACTAAAACTGATTGGCCACTGCGTTCAAAAAAAATCAACAGATATATCTGCATTGGCTACAATGTTCAACGCTGCAAAAAAACGTTGTGAATAGAAACCTTTGATGCTGTCCAGAGCGCAAACACAGAGAGACAGATGCACACTGGAGTCTGCCGTAAGGCTGCTGCTTACTTTCATTTTATCCTTTATTTTGTTATTATTTTGTTTTGTTCCTGGTCCCGTTTTTTGGGACCCAGGGTTTGAAAACCACTGTTTTAAAACACATGTTAAGACCAGGTGTAAACAGTAATGCGTCTTGGTTGACCTCTTCTGATCGGATCACTAAAAATGCATCTTAATACACTGCAAAAAAGTGCTTAAGTGACTTAAGCACTTTGACAAACTCAGCTTAAGTGACTTAAGATATTTAGTCTTGTTTCCAGGTGAAAAAAACTAAATTAAGTGCATTTTGCTTAAAACAAGTAAAATTATCTGCCAGTGGGGTAAGTAAAATATTCTTAAAACAAGAGCATTTTACTTACCCCACTGGCAGATAATTTTACTTGTTTTAAGCAAAATGCACTTAATTTAGTTTTTAAGACTAAATACCTTAAGTCACTTGGCTTATCTAGTAAAAGTATCTTGATTTAAGAATTTTTTGATATTTTGACTACAAACAAGACAAAAATACTAATTAAGATAAGCCATTTTTTGCAGTGTACCAGGTGTAAACAGGGCGTTAGAAAAGTAACTGACAATCCTTTATATTACTAAAATTTAATTTAATAGTAATAGTGATAGTCCCCAACTTAGGAAGATGTTTTCTTACTTGAGAGAAGCAGAAGTGATCGTCTGCCATATTTAGAGCAGCAGTGATGCATGTTTATTGGCCCGCGGCCTATCTGCTCATCTCAAGTGCTCTAGAGCAAAGGAGAGCATGGCCTAAATGTGCCAGAACTCTCCAGTCATATGTGACAGCCGCTGACGGACTGCTCTGACAGCAATACTGAGCGGCAGTGACATCAGCTCACAGACAGATTGAAGCATGCCTGTGGTATGAATATTTCAGTCCCATGACATGTGAGATGTTGATAACATACTTTGCTTTTCATTTACAAACAGACCTCTAGGACTTGCACCACACTGCATTAATTACTTGCTGAGGCAACATGGCAGTTTTTCTTGAAAGCACTTGCCAATGGCCAAAGAGAAAGACTGAGCGAGACGGAGAAGAAAGCTCTAGTCTTTGACAGCTTCATTTTTTTCTTTGTATAACTTTAGAGGGTAACATTAAAATCTTGCTTTAAAATCCATGCTTTGTCACTGACGACGCTCTTGTCAAGGTTAAAGCCACAATGAATCACGACGCGGTTTATAATATCACAAATAAAAACCACGTTGTTTAGCTGTTGTTATAAACAACAAACTAAACATATGACAGCCGCTGTGATGAGACCAAGTAAACATCTCGAAACCGTTTCAGCGTTTATTACTCCGCTATAATATTCAGAGATACAAAGGTCTTCGCTATATTTGTTCAACAAATAAATACAGTTTCAGGTTCCTTTTAAGGCACTGGCCTCTAGATGACCCCAGCTACATTTATTAAATTTCCTTATACAGCAATGAGACAGAAATTGGTCGTATTATCTGTGATAAGGAGGCAGAGTCCATGTGTTACAAATTCAGGATGTGGTTGCTCAACCACAGGAAAACACATGAAAACAAGGCAATCTCAATGAGTAAACATTTATAAGAGCAAAGGAGAACAGTCACATCTCTAACTCACAAATGCACTGCAAAAAATCAATAAGAATCAGTATACTGTTTTCCAGTACAGACATCTACCGTCAAGACACTATACATTAACAATACCTGGAAAATAAGATGACTTATGATATTAAGTCTTGTTTTCAGAAAAAAAATATCACAATAAAAAAAAATCAGCTAATGGGGGAAGAAAAAAAAGTTTTCAATTTGAAATAAAGAAACAGTTCATCCAAAAAAAAAAGGCCTTCCAAGATGTAGATGACTTTGTTTCTTCATTTTGAACAGATATAGAGAAATTTAGTGTTTAGCAAATTTAGCAGCTAAATTTCCCTAAATTTGTTCCGCTGAAGAAACCTACATTTTGGATGACCAGAGGCTGAATAAATTCTGCAAATTTTCTTTTTTGGGTGAACTATTCCTTTAATGTAAATTGTTCTTATCCAATTGGTGGATTTCTTTTCTTGTTTTAAGCATAAACTTACTTTTAGATGTTTTTTCTTTCAGAAAACAAGACTTAATATCATATGTCATTTTGCTTATGAAATAAATGTATCTTGGTTTAAGATTGATTTAAAAGTTTAAACACAATGAAAAACACAAGGCAATCTCAATGAGTAAACATTGAGTTAGGAGAACAGCCACATCTCTAACTCACAAATGCACTGCAAAAAATCAATAAGAATCAGTATACTGTTTCCCAGTACAGACATCTACCGTCAAGACACTATACATTAACAATACCTGGAAAATAAGATGACTTATGATATTAAGTCTTGTTTTCAGAAAAAAAATATCACAATAAAAAAAAATCAGCTAATGGGGGAAGAAAAAAAAGTTTTCAATTTGAAATAAAGAAACAGTTCATCCAAAAAAAAAGGCCTTCCAAGATGTAGATGACTTTGTTTCTTCATTTTGAACAGATATAGAGAAATTTAGTGTTTAGCAAATTTAGCAGCTAAATTTCCCTAAATTTGTTCCGCTGAAGAAACCTACATTTTGGATGACCAGAGGCTGAATAAATTCTGCAAATTTTCTTTTTTGGGTGAACTATTCCTTTAATGTCCAAAATGGAGAACACTGGGAGAAATCAAATTAATCTTTTTGAAAGAAGACATGAGATTACAGGAAATTAATTTGATTTCTAAGATTTCTCAAACTGTGCCAAGATAAAGTTTGAAATCCAATCAGAGAACTCAGTATGAACTCAATCACTCCTCATCTGAGCTACACATATTCATTTTATACCCATATACACTAACTAAATGTCTACGATTAGTTAACTTTTGTGTATTTTTATTTATCCTACCGAATTTTAGCAGAAACATGCGAGTCGACGTTTGCGAAACATGTCTGAAAGCTTCATTAAGACTTGTCAGCCAAGAAAGTGGAGCTTTTCCAGAAGGACATGGTACAAACAGTTCATGTGGGTGTAAAAGTCACATTAGAGCTAAATAATATCAACAGTAACTGATGCAACACCCTGTCAAAATCTCTTTGATGACTCATCTCAGTACAGAGGGTGTAATTACCTGACATGGCAGCAGAGGGTGCACTCGGCTCACCGTAGCCGAACTCGTTGATGGCCAGAACTCTGAACTGGTAGCTGATACCCTGCCGCAGGCGGTCTAGACTCACTGAGTGAGAGGTGCTGGTGGGAGGCAAGTGCCGCACAAACGTATCCCACATCCCTTCATCTGCGGAGAGCAAGGTCACTTCCAGTGAAAATGCCATCATGCACTTGGTAGCACTAAGTTCATTAGTGTGTCCCATTTCACTTAGCAGATGCTGACATCAAGAGAGCAGCTAGCAGCTGTTTCATTGCCCGACAAGCAATGATGTTCAATGTGAATGAAACCATGATGACATGGAAAGGGCAGTTATACCAATGTATCCCAAGTAAATGTTCAGTAGATTATTTCAGACCAGCATTCAGACTCCTAAATTAACACTCGTCAAGTGCCAAATGGGAGTAGAAATTCGTTTTGACTGATAACTTTTCTAGAAATTGTAACATTACATGATTTGAACTGGAAAAATGAAACAAAATAAATAATTAACGAAATAAATTAAATGAATAAATAAATAAAACAAACTTGCTCTTTAGCAATTTTTAGCTCAGTGAAAAAAAGTTTGAGGCTCATCTAGGATGCCTAGTTTTTTTCTATAACGTGGTGACACATGAACTACCAAAATGGAAATACATGGAATTGTAAATGCAGTGAATGATACAATGACCTGCACTGTACAAATATGCAAAAAAAGAAAAAGAAAAGAAAAAAAGAAAAAGAAAAAAATAATAAAAGAAAAGGATGTTTTGTTATAGCAAAACAAATATTGAAAAAAAAAAGCAAAATAAAGATGGCTGGTAAGAAATTGTCGGTAAATCTGTGGCAAAAAAAAATTGCAAAAGACTGCAAAAAAGAAGCATTTATCCACATGATTCCTGGTGAAATCTAAATGCGATGATGCTACATGAAAATAATTACTACATACAGTATATTATAAAACTATTAACAAAAAGTAAAAGCAATATAAAAAAACAAACAGCATTTTAGAAGTATTTATACAATATCATAGTTTTTATTAATATTTTAAAATTGCATTTTATACTGTCATATTATTATTTTAAATTTAGTTTAAGTTTTAAACTAAATATTTAAAAAAAATTTTTTTTTTTAGTTTTACTAGTTTAAGTTTAAAATAGTTAATAAAAATAAAAGTTAATAGTTTAAATTTCTCATCTAAAATTGAGATTTTATTTCATTTCAGATTACTGAGATTTCAGAGGTTTTCAGAGGTTGGTGGTTAAAAAAGTGCAAAGATCTTTGGCACTACTTTGATTTCCTTAAATGTTTAATTGCTGCATTAAATTTAAGTTTTCGATTTTAAAATGAAATATTTGAAATTTTTATAGTGAATGTTCAATAAAAAAGTGAATATATTAATAGCAAGTTTTGAGTGATGTACCTGATGGGCGTGCTTCAATCACATAGCCGGTCACATGTCCTGCTCCTGTATCTCCTGGTGTCCAGTGGATGTTGAGCATGGATCCTGTCTTTGTGATTGACATTTCTACAGGAGATCCAGGAGACCCTAAACAGAGAGGAGAGCGTGCAGTGAACTGAGAAGAACAGGTGAGCGATCCGACCCTTGTGAGTGAAGGTCTAAAGCTAAACCAAACGCCTACACCACTGTGAGATATTGATCCACGCAGGTGTTTTCACAGCCTGGATTTCTGACACTTCTCGCTGAGGAGTGGGGAATGTAAGCTGTGCTCAGCGACCCTGAGAGGTTTGCTGATCTGTTTTTGTTGGTGGTGTGTTTGTTTGGTTGTGTTGCTCACCTTTGACAGGACCCGCTGTGATGTTGGCCTCTGCCTCAGGCCCATAGGCAATAGTCTTGGCCTGCACGCGGAAGCAATAGGTCATACCCTTGGTCAGGTCACGCACCTTCAGCCAGCGTTGCCAGCTGCCACGGATATCCACCGTTACCACTTTAGTCACACCTAATGTGCACATACACACACAAGACAGCACAATTACACACTACCGCACAAGAACTGACTCCTTTTATTCAAACAAACATTACAATGCAGCAGCATCTTCCTACCTAGGAACAGCGAGTCAAAATCAATTACTCCAGTTATGTATGATAAACTACGTTGACATTAAGAAATATTATTAAAGTCAGCCATTGAGAAAACTCAACACAGAGCCATGGAAACAATAACAAGAAAATTAGTTTTATATAAACAACTCATCACATCATCATCAAACATTAAAACACTACTAGCGATGTTAAAAAAAGCCACTGTTCGAACCAGAGCATTATGAGAGAGTCTGATACAGTGGAAATATGCAGACCTTGAATCGGGGCGCTGGGCTCATATACCACCCTGTAGCCTTCCACCACACCGTTGGGGGACAGCGGGAAACCCCAGGACACGTTCAGAGTGCTGCTGGTCACCTCGGAGAAACTGATGAAGCTGGGAGCGCTGGGGGCTGCGAGAACCGTGTAGTTTGATCAATGCAACAAATACAGATTACGTTAAAGCAATAAGCCATTAACTGGGGTTTTTACCATGATTACACAGTGTTCTTATGCATAATGTAACCACATGAAGATCTTGACCACATTATGGTTTCGTATTATAAATCAAATTATTTCATTTGTTTCAAAGAGCCGTACTGTATACACAAGAACCGGAAAAAAAAACTAAGATATTGGCTAAGCAAATAAATATGAAAAACAATAAGATAAAATGAACCAACTAAAATGACTTTTAATATCTATGGAAAGCACACTTTCTCTCTTGATGGATCATTGAATTATTGAAAAATATTTAAAGGAAAGAGGCTTATTGCTTGTACAAAATGGGAATATGACAAATGACTAATAATGTTGTTGTTTTGTTCATAACTTAAAACATGCTTCCTTCCATTTAACTTATCACAATAACTGCTGCTCAGTTTTAGACCATTTTATGAATTTTCAGAGTTTAAATAATGAGAGCTTTAATAATTAAGTTGTCAAAAAAGTGAACTTTTCGTCAACATTTTGCAGCAAATAATCTTTAAAAAAATCTGTAGTTTTAATTTTAGTAAGTTAGAAGTTTTTTCTGTGAATGTTTAATAAATAATATCAATTTTAGTATTAACAAATTGAACGTTTTTAGGTTAGTTTTTAGTTTAACTATAGGGTGTTTACAGTTGCTAAGCATCATAGCAACTTACTAAAAGCATATTAATATAAAATTGAATTGGTATGGGTCACAGGTGTGAGTATATTGCAACTGCTTTGAATGTGGCACATCCAATCCAATTTTAGAGTCTGATGTAATATGTTAAATAAAAACAAATCTATAAAAGTGACTATATCCCACTCTCTCAGTGATTTTACAGCTCAAGCTATGCAAATCTGTTCTTTTGCACAAATGCAGCTCGTTGCTTTAGGAAATGTCAAAGAGAGGTAGAGGTGGTGAGTTTCCTCTGTTTGAACAAATGAGGTCACATCAAGACCATTTGAATAATTTTCAAATAGTTTTTTTTAGGTGACTCGTGGGTAACGAGCCCCTCCCTGTCATTTCAGTGAGGTGGAGCCTGAGGTCAAATCATTCCCTGCTTGTGCGTAATTCATTCCGACAACATTTATAGAGTATAAAATTGAATTGGTATGTGTCACAGGTGTGAGTATATTGCCTATTTTGCAACTGCTTTGAATGTGGCACATCCAATCCAATTTTAGAGTCTGATGTAATATGTTAAATAAAAACAAATCTATAAAAGTGACTATATCCCACTCTCGCAGTGATTTTACAGTGCTAGCTATGCAAATCTGTTCTTTTGCACAAATGCAGCTTGTTGCTTTAGGAAATGTCAAAGAGAGGTAGAGGTGGTGAGTTTCCTCTGTTTGAACAAATGAGGTCACATCAAGACCATTTGAATAATTTTCAAATAGTTTTTTTTAGGTGACTCGTGGGTAACGAGCCCCTCCCTGTCATTTCAGTGAGGTGGAGCCTGAGGTCAAATCATTCCCTGCTTGTGCGTAATTCATTCCGACAACATTTATAGAGTGAATGATTTAATGCAGAACACATGAATTGCTAATGTGAATGATGCAACGGTGATATAACGCAGCATGCTCCAAAATATGATCAGGTGTCGACCTGGTTTTCATGCACGGAGAAGAACACAATATGGAAGTGGACGTGTTGCCCTTGGCGCACTTTCTGTGGTCAGATTTATAGTTTAGCCTTAAAAGGTGTAACGGTTTGTGCTCAGGTCAGAGGGGGCCTCTGTGATAAGTTGTGAATGGGAGTTTAATGGTCGTTAGGATGATTTGTGCAGATGCTCACCTGCCTGAAGAGTGCGCCCCCTCCTGGGCTCACTGAAGGGACCGTCTCCAGCAGCATTGAAGGCGGACAGCTTGACCATATAGTATGTGTAGCTGGTCAGGTTCTTCAGCCTCATGTTGGTTTCAGGCCGGAAGAGAATCTTAACTCTCTCGGTTTCATTCTGACTGTCCATCTCCCAGTAAAGAATCTACAGGCAACAAAAAGACTGAATAAGACAAATTGACTTGCTCTGCTAAATGCTTGGATAATAAAATTAAAAGGAAACATCCTGCTGCTGCTAGAGAGAGAAAGATTTTCTGTAGCAGATCTTGGCAGGTGGTGCTGGGGAAGTGGTGGGGTAAGATGAGAAGACGCATAGCACACAGACCTAGCATTCATTGAATACATCCTGTTTATATAGGTAAATGGTAATGAGTACATGAATCTGATTGGCTGGGAACATTGAATTGAATTGACCAATTAGAAAGCAAGTAGAGTTTCATGGCTGAACTATTCAAAATGTAAATCAGGTTACAGGTAAATAGCTGGACTCTATGTAAGCTGCCAACTAATACAGAGAACAGTTTTTTTTGTCATAGCTGTTACTATGGATGGGTGGATTAATGTTACTATATTGTATATTTTGGCACATCTGGAATGCTGCATTGGCATTCATTATCAGCAGTTTTATAATCTAACTTATTCAATCCACTATAGTTATATTACACAAATGGTCATACAAACTCGTTAAAGAACAAATGAAATGTGCAGAGGGCTTACAGTCTCTTCACTAATCATGCAGAACTCAAGTATTCAATGATACAACAGGGATCTCTGCATTAACATGAATCTGCCATATTACTGCCAGGACATTTTTATATATCAATTTCATGCATATTTCAGCAGATATTCACTTAACCCCTCACCCATGATCATTATTTCATGACCCAAATGGGCAGTTCTTTAAAACATACTGTCTGGCGCCATTATCTAACGCAGTAAAATCTGTGGAGAATATAAGAAATAAAAAAAGACAAAAGAAACAGTAGATATTCTTCCACCCTAGAGAGCTCGTAATGACAGAGGTAGAGGGGAGGAGAAAAAGAGGACGGATAATAAGAGTATGAGAGAGACTGGACGAGGTGGGTGGGTTGGGGGTGTCACCTTATATCCCTGAATGATGCCATTTTGGGTCTCGGCAGGGGGCGGCTCCCACTGCACCTCCAGCTGTGTGGATGACAAAGTGTTGATCTGGATGTTCTGAGGAGCCACGGAGGGAGCTACGAAAGAGCAGAGGAGATAGTGTAAATACATCACATTCAATCCCTCCAGCTAACTACTACAAAAATCATCAGATGTGCCCTGAAAAATGAGATGCACTCATGCTGCTTTGGTGCCGGTGCACAATCTGGAACCATTCCACATGTTTCCACTTGTTCTAAACCTGTATGACATTCTTACTTCTGATGAACACAAAAGAAGATATTTTGAATAATGCTGGCAACCAAACAGTTGACGGTAGTCATAGTATATTTTTCATACTATGGAAGTCAATGGCTACCGTCAATTTTTGGTTACCAACATTATTCAAAATATCTTCTTTTGTGTTCAACAGAACAAAAAAAATAAATTCAGATTTGGAGCAAGTTGAGGGTGAGTAAATGATGACCAAAAAAAGTCAGTGTGCACGCAAAGTGGAAGCATCAGTTTCTGAACGAGAGCTGGTACCAGTGGAAATTAATATCAGATGAACACAGACTCCAGCGTGGCTGCCGCCCTCTGTTGTGTCTCTGTTAAATGTCATTCATTAAAGGGGCGAGGAATACATAATCCCATCCGTCATAAATCACAGCAACAGATGCAGCTACCCCAGACAGCAATCATCAAAAAAAGAGCGAATTTAATAAGACCAAACCTGAAAGCAGAGCTAACTCCAGGAGCATGACAGCTCGTCTATTTTAGGGGCTTGAAAGTTGAGCTTACGTGTAGTAAAGCGGGCTGAATCATTTATGAGCGGGAATGAATTACAGCTGTGGACAGTGGGGTTCAAGAGGGGCTGGCGCGAGAGACTCGACTGAATGAGCTGTTAAAATAAAGCACAGACAAGCTCAGTTCCAACATCTAAGTGAGCTGTCTTGCTGTCTACACAGGAAGCATCCTAGCCGAAACCAAACATTTCAAGTGAGATCTACATATAGATGACAACTCCATATACCACACAACACTTCTGACATCAGGTGCACTGGAGACAAAACAGTTGTGTCCCAAATGATGCACTATACACTATGCTCTTATTCTATGCACTATGTAGTCAAACATCTAGCGTATGAGGTCTAAAAGGTTACTTTGATCCAGCATTGGAGTCTGATAGCCCTCCCCCTTTGGCTATGCAAAGAAAGCCGCTACAGTTGAGTGCATGAAGAGTCTAACATTCCACACGTCATACTTTCAGTTAAATAACTGCATTTTTCTTGCTGGATTTTTCAGTGTGAACTCACTACTCATACTAGTTATAAGTTACGCGGGAAAGCGTTTTCTTGAAAAAGACGAGATAACTCGTCAATGGCGGGGAAAGAGTTAAAGAGGAAATATTTCAAAATAAGCAATTTATGCAACATATCAAAGTTTTAAACAGCAGTACAAAAAAATAAAAAATCTAAATCAAACTGTGGCAATAGTTTAAAAGTAATCCAGTTCTGTAGAAAAAACGTAGACTTGGCAACCCTGAACAAGGCCGTTGGGATGGCAGAAGCTTTAAGGGCAAAGCACCCTTCATGCCCGCTCTCCGCCTCTCTTTCCCAGCCTACATCTCTCTGATCCCTCTCAGAGTATCTTCAGATGTAGCCAACCTGACGTTAATCAGAGGGAAATTCATTTGTTTGTTTGGCTGTCCCCCCTCCTGCTGCTGGGAGTAATCTCCACGCCTGGCCCCTTCTAATGATGCTGTTAATAACCTGATGTTGATAACCCTGCCTGCTCCGCCAGCTGCTTGAGTTCTTTATGACAGATTCATATTTACTGCTTCATTAAACCCCTTATGAGAGGAGGCCAAAATTCTCCAAAGAGGTGAAAGAGGTGTCTCTTCAAAAAACTGGATGAGAAAAAATTCATAGTACAAAAATAACACAACACAAATATGACAAAATATGACATAAAAAGTGTATAAATCACTTATTTTTCATATGCATCTGTTTACATAAGAGATCGCTAGTTTCTCCGTCCTGTTCACGTGTGTTTTTGTTTCGGGAGCTTTTGTACTTGTTCAGAAGATGCGTAATAGCGCCCCCGAGTGTATAACAGTGAAAACAAACACGAAAATAAAAACGCGGGGAAGCGTTTTCTTGAAAAAGACGAGATAACTCGTCAATGGCGGGGAAAGAGTTAAAGAGGAAATATTTCAAAATAAGCAATTTATGCAACATATCAAAGTTTTAACCAGCAGTAAAAAAAAATAAAAAATCTAAATCAAACTGTGGCAATAGTTTAAAAGTAATCCAGTTCTGTAGAAAAAACGTAGACTTGGCAACCCTGAACAAGGCCGTTGGGATGGCAGAAGCTTTAAGGGCAAAGCACCCTTCATGCCCGCTCTCCGCCTCTCTTTCCCAGCCTACATCTCTCTGATCCCTCTCAGAGTATCTTCAGATGTAGCCAACCTGACGTTAATCAGAGGGAAATTCATTTGTTTGTTTGGCTGTCCCCCCTCCTGCTGCTGGGAGTAATCTCCACGCCTGGCCCCTTCTAATGATGCTGTTAATAACCTGATGTTGATAACCCTGCCTGCTCCGCCAGCTGCTTGAGTTCTTTATGACAGATTCATATTTACTGCTTCATTAAACCCCTTATGAGAGGAGGCCAAAAATGCTGCAAAGAGGTAAAAAAGAAAACACGCGCACACACCCTATCCTGCCAAAACTCTCACCACGACTGCTTTTATTAATACTGTGGCACTACTACAGAAATGCTACTTAGAATTCCATAAATAATCTTGGCAATGATTGGGCGAAATGCAAAACAGTGCGGCGAGCAAGAGCCTTGACAACATCCTGTCTGTGCAGTGTCAGCCTGTTAGCACGGCTGGAGGGGAATTAAACAGCAAAAACGACAGTTCGCATTTGTAGCAATTTGCCTGCGTTCGATACTTTTAAGCATATGTTTGAAATGCGGACGTAATGCATCTATTTGCTAGCAGTGGGAGGATTGTTTTTCCACTAAAGGCCTTTTCATTGATCATATGAGATGCCCCGCGTGAATATACATTTGTTTCGGGCTGTGTAGGTGATAAAAATCCTTTCTTTTGTGGTGTACCCAATAAAACAGCACAACAATTATCAGTTTTCCGTGGAATAGCTGGAATGTCATATCCGGGCTTCCTCTTTTGGCAGCTCATTAGACGAAGCGTTTGGCTCGTCAGCCAGGCAGCTGGATATTATTCAAGTCAATAGATATACCAAAATAATATGACTGTTTTTAGTAACAAAACAACTTCAACTCAAATTGAAAAGCACTACAATTCAGCAGTACAAGCTAGCTGGCAGGAGCCTGATTGTAAGGTAGGGAAGAACAGAGAGCTAAACCAGCCTTCAGTACAGCTTGAAACAGCAAACTCATCTTGGAGCACACTCTTTATTCAGCCATCTTTTCATATCTACAAGCACTCCAGATCCATGTGGTCCTCTTAGCACGTCATCCTCAAGTCCTCCTTAAAAGAACTAAACTCACATCGGACCGATAAGTGAAGAGACTGAATTTTTTTTTCTTCTCTTTTTTAATGCATTCACATCAAATAGTCCCAAATCTCTTTTTAGTCTACTAGAGTTTAATTTCACTTTCCATTCACACTGCTTTTTAACTCAGACCACTAAAATATAAAATCTGATATGGAAATGTTAAATACATTCAATAAAATATGTACTGTATCATCATCATATCACACATCTATATATTTGTAGTATAATAATAATGAATCAGAACAATTAATGTTATGATACATTTCATATTATAGGGGTGAACAATAATAATAATGATAATAATAATAATAAACTTCAGTATTGGAAATGATTGAAAATTATTAATAATTAGTATATATGTATGCTTTTAAACTGATGTGCTATATATGTAATATCTCATTGTCATTTGCATAAAAAAACAGAATGAGAAGCAGCACTTTGTATGGTAATCTGTAATAGCCATATTTTTTAGTTCATATTTAGATTCACACAAAAGTGAAAATAAGGTAAACGAAGCACTTTGTGTCCACAATTCACTCTGAATTTGTGTTTGGTTTATATGAAAGTGGTTTGTTTTGAAGCCAAATTTCTTCCAAACCACTCTCAGATACCTGAAACTACATTTCAGTACTAATCAAGATTGCATCAGACAGTTATAACAAAGCTAATTGATCCAAAAACAGATCCACGTCTAGAAATGGATTCAAACCCAGTCCTTCAGGTGGGTTTGTGTTTCTGTCACATTAGGCAGAAACCCACCATAGCTCTGGCCTCTGTCCTTATGTTCCTTCTTCATGCCACTCCACTAAGGGAACACAATTCATATCTGTCAACTCATGTCACGCCTTATTCCCTGAAGGACTGAAGACAGAGCACAAGCTGTCCTGTTCCTGGAGAGCATTACGGCACAGGCCTCCATCTCAAAAGAAACATCCATCGACAGTGGTCATCACCACATCTGTCAGGGTGGAGCAGCAGAGATGTTTTACTGCGAGTTTGCTCTCTCATTAAACTGGTTCTCCGGTGGGATGATGCCAGAAAAGCACGCTGGTCTGGGTTTGACAAAAGTCTACTCTATATTAGAAAAACCAACACAGCCCTCGACATAACCATTGAATTAGGTTCTCATACTGTGCAGGTTTAGAAAATACAAGATACCTAATAATCCCCTTCACATCAGGGCTCAACAATAAGGATGGCCTGGATAAAGTGTGGGGCCTGTTGGAACTGGATATTACAATTTTTCATCAAAAGTGTCTTTATGAATTTATAGCAGTTATGGAATCACATAGCCTTATAGTTTACAGACAATATGAGCTAAAATAAACTCAAATAAAACAAAATAGCAACTGTTGGACTATATACACTGTGTAGTTTCAAGGTAATATTGCAAAAAAAAAAGTATAAAATAAATTAGCAACAGCTATTGTGATCAAAGGGATATCATTATGATTACCAATATTAATCAAACATGTTTTGCTTCAAATATTTTGATGAAGAAACAGCTGGGTATTTCTTAAAGGGGCCCTATTATGCTCTTTTACAATGTCTTGATTTTGTTTTGGGGGTGTACTAGAACATGCTCTCATGCTTGGTGGTTCGAAAAACACATAATTTTGTACATAATTTACATTATAACAATACCTTTCTCCCCATCCTGGCACAAACGGCTCGATTAGTTCCGGGTTTGATGAAGGCCCGCCTTCCGAAAAACGAAATGTGATGTGATTGGTTAGCTGTCCCAGTGTTAGTTAAGGATGGCGTCAATATTGCCATATCAATTTGAGTCGGATTCAGACCCAGAGAATATTGAACAAGAGGATCGCGCAGAACCTTTGCACGCACGGATATTGCAAGACATATTAGAGTAACTTTATTGTTTTATTTTTGTTGGCTAAATCACGTTTTAGATAGGATGTCAACAACCGCTTAAAAATAACTGCATTGACTATGTACAGATAAGTGCATATGTATTATTTTTATTGTTATTTAATTTGAACATTATAACATGAATTGCAGTGAAACTGTTGTACAGTTGAATTTATTTCTACCATAGTTCAGTGTTTCCCAGGCGGCATATATATGCAAACTCATTCTCTGCCAGCAGGAGGCGCTGTTGGAGTGGTAGAGATCAAGGTTTCCCCGGTAACGGCTGTACACAAAGCAGGGCTCAGCTAAAAAAAACACTGCTTTATCAGACATTACATGCAAGATTAAATGAAAATGTCATCCAATTTTCTGAAGACAGTCGGGTTTCCTTCAGAAATACAGTGATATAAAAACACCCGCAATCAATGTATGGGAAACACTGTAGTCTCATAATTGAAGTGTACATTCTGCAGATTACATCATTGTCCAGTATTTTACTCTCAGCAATTTATTATAAAAACGTTTTCATAATTGTAACATACATATTTACATAGATAATTATTCAGGTGCATGTGTAATAACTTGTGAAAACTTGAGGCTACGGCAGCACTTCTTCTTCGTTGTTGTCTTGTCTGATGCACTCAACCAAGCGTTCTAACCACGACCTCGCCCCTCCCCACCCCCCAACCATTCGAATTTCCATAGGAGGGATTTATTTTAATGATATTCTAATGGGCCGCTTTGTGATATCACAAAACCCAGAAAACAAACGCTGTAGTCCAAACGAGCCGTTCGTTGTAGTTCTTGAAAAGGGATTTAAAAAAAATGAAATATCTCCCTTTGGAGTGGACTTTGAGATTTGTAAGTTTGAAGATATTTTTTATGCCCAAACATACACATTACACACTGACTAAAATTCAAAAATTGAAAAAGCATAATAGGACCCCTTTAACAACAAATAGCCACTTTTTCATGCCAGAAGTGCATAGCAATCGCAACATCAAATATACAGACATTTTTCATCAAAAGTGTCTTTATGAATTTATATTAGTGCTGTCAAACGATTAATCGCGATTAATCGCATCCAAAATAAAAGTTTTTGTTTACATAATATGTGTGTACTGTGTATATTTATTATGTATATATAAATACACACACATGCAGAATTCGGTTAATGAAGGATTGCTGACAGTCTTCACAGTGCTTTTGGCTGTGGAGGGAGAAAGAGCAAACGATGAGGAATACATTACTGGAGAAGCAGCAGAGATGGAAAAGCACAAATCAAAGGGATATTTCATCATGGCAGTAAATCTTTGCTTTTCAAAGTTGCTCATCACACACTTCTCCAAGAGATTGATGAAATTCCACAATGCTCATCTAGCTCTCCAATCAAAACCCGCAAGAAACCAAAGCCAGTCAGTGATTAATGATTCAACAGTCAATATACAGTACTAAATCACAAGCTGGGGTGCATTAGGGACCTAATAAGATTTTTTTTGAACACATACTGATCCAACATCACTTGGGTAAAATTAAAGAAAAATCTGGTCATTCCTTTTATACAGTTTCTTTTGAGTGCTGTAACTTAAACAAATATAACAGATACTTAAACAGTTACTTTACGAAGTATCTTCTCGTCAAGCTCAGACACAAACTTTATTTACAACAAATAAATAAATAAATGACAAACAGGTGCCTAAATGGTTAAAAATAGAGCTCACTTAGTGACGGAGAATTAGCTTACATGCTGTAAACTTTAAATTAAATTGAAATGAAAATTGATCATTTTAAACATATTTTTAAACTATCATACAGATCTTTGTGATTTTGTCATAATTTTTTTTTATCATTTCATGTCGTTTAAACATGTAATATTGTAAAGTAAGACTAAACAAGTAATATCACACAATATTACTTAAATCATCAAATACTTGCTCATGCTTGTGCTATTGTTTTCCCCACAAAATATGTTATAATAAATATAGTTTTTTATAGATAAAAGGGATTCAAACATGTTTTGCTTTAAATATTTTGAGTATTTCTTAATAAACTTTTTCATGCCATAAGTGCATAGCAATCACAACATCAAGTGTATTTTATAGTGATACTTTACTGAAGTGTACTCTATAGTGATAATGTTGTAAAAAATTGATACGATATCTATTTTTAAAATTGTCATTTTATTCAGCATATTAATAACTAGACGGAAGGGGAAATGCTCTACAAGAATGACTCAGCTTTGTTTCATGTCACATGATCCAGAAGATTTTGTACTAAATCTTTGTATCTGTCCGACAGCACACTACGAACAACAATCATAGGCACATACAAACATATCAGTACAATAAAGTAACATAAACTGACTCGGCTTTAGCAGAATGCTCCAGAAAGTGACAGAGACCTTGTTAGCTTCTGGAGTACCTGCTAACTTTTCAATGTAAGCTGTTAAGCCTGAACAAATAGAGCATAGCTCCGGTAATTTCCTCTTGGCATTTAGGGTGATTTCAGCAGGGAGGCACATTCGACACTTAACAGACCTCAGATTTTAACATGTAAGACGAGTGGAGAGCAGAGGACAGATATTGCACTCCTGCCCTGACCGGTGCAGAACATAGGGAAAGGAATTAAATATGCCTCCATGCTCGGCTGCTCTGGGCTTGTGCATTTAAATGCTGTCAACAATGCTGAGTCCAATTTGTCAAAGGAGATTTAGCAGCCGGATCCGGGCTGCGGTAAAAGAGCCCGTTGGCGCGCTCAGTGCCGAACACTTGAGCTCAAACTCATGATTCCGCACGTCACACAGCCTGAGCGCGTAATGAGTTCACCTACGCTCAGCCATCCGTCGGAAAATTATTCTCTAACTGCAGGGAGGACGAGCATCCTAACGCTTTGATAGCGCTCAAACTCGACTGAGTTGCGCAATGTTCAGCGTATTAATGTGAATTAGTGCTGTCAAACGATTAATCGCATCCAAAATAAAAGTTTTTGCTTGCATAATGTATGTGCATGTACTGTGTATATTTATTATGTATATATAAATACACACCCATACAGTATATATTTTGAAAATATATGTATTTACATATATTTATATTATATATAAATATAATGAATATATAAACATAACATATTTTTCTTAAATATATACGTGCATGTGTGTGTATCTATATATATACATAATAAATATACACAGTATATACACATACATTATATAAACAAAAACTTTTATTTTGGATACGATTAATCGCGATTAATCGTTTGACAGCACTAATGTGAATTTCGTCATTTGCTAACACTGATTGCGTCCCAGTTTCATGTCAAAACTCGACTTACTTTCTGAGAGTGTAGCTGCGAAATACAACATTCATCTTTGCACAAAAGCGCACGTCAAAAAGGCTGAGGTAAAAATGGTTAAGGAATTCCTTTTTTTCAATAACTGGAATGGGTTAAAGTGTTCAAAGAAGCACTCAAGCTATAAATCACACCTGCGTGCAGACGTTTCTGGTTCAAGAGGAGAGCCTCCTCCCGCTAGTTACCTGTCAGTTCGGTGCGCAGCAAGGAGCTGTTGACGGCCCTCTTTGACTCCTGCGGTGCGCTGTCATACTGCAGCTCGCGGTAGTAGAGCCGATAGCCCACCAGAACCCCATTCACACTCTCCTCCTTGGGCTTCTGCAAAGGCACAGATTAAATTAAAGGTCACATTCCGCTAGCTGTTCTCACGGTCCTTATTAAAGCGCACACTGATAAAAAGCCGTCCCGGCCGTAACTGACAGACAGCGCTGACTGATCTCCCATCGCTCGTCCGTGCGCGACGCTCGCCGCCAAATGGATAAGATAAATAAAAGATGAGGATTTAATTTCTGAGCCATTCAGTCAGTGGGTAATTAACAAAGCTCAGAGCAGAGCGTAATCAACTCGGCCTACGGTTCTGCTGATAAAACAGACAGTAGCGAGAAGATCCCGGGACTCATAGGTCAGTGAATAAAGGTTTCAGCTACTAATTAATATCCCTTCAGATTGCAGGATCGCTGTCGTGCATGGGTATTAATTATCCCGGGCTTGGCGGAGCCTTTTGCGAGCTCTGTAAATGTGCGGGTATCAATACCGCATGTCATTAATTTATGCAAACCTGCACGAGGAATACTAAGCGATGCATGCCAGGCTGCTCAAAGCGAGGCGAGGCTACCTATTGACAAAAGTCAGATCATTAAACAGAACAGGGCTGTAATTTCACTGGTGATAGCCTGTAACATGCCGCTACTCTTCTCACAGGCTGGAGCCGGTTTGTTATCTGGCTATCAGATAAACGTAATGGGGGTCAAGAGTTCACTCGACCCGGGGTGGGCCGGCATTAGCGTACCTGCCACTGCACCAGCACGGATGTCGTCGTGGAGGGTTTCACGGCTTGAATTGTGGGCGATTCATCAGGAACTGCAGATGCACAGAAAACAACATTTGATAATAAGTTCACATAAACAATAAGAAATCCCATTCTTAGTTCAGTAAATACAGTAATTTTTTTACTTGCCATTATGTTGTTCTAAACCTGTATGACTTTATTTCTTCTGTGGAACACAAAAGAAGGATTTTTGAAGGCTGGCCTTTTCAATATATATATATATGAAGAGTTCAGATGCAAAAGCGTTTAAGTGCCATCTGAAATTTTCATCTAAAATCAGGTTCCTATGTTTAGGTTCAGTAATTTTACTCTAATGGGAATGTATAGGTCCTTTTCTATGCAATTAAAGTGATATACCTGAACTGGTGTTCCAAGGACTGGTGGTTCCAAGCTCAAAAATGACAAAAGAACACCATAAAAGTACTTTAAAAGTCCTTTGACCATATCATATCACCTATTTTGAAGTTGTAAGATTTCGTTCTGTGAGAAACAAACAAACAAAATAACTTTTCCCACAGCACTTAACCCCTGGTTATCGTTGTTCTTAACCCCGCTTTTAACTCTGGCTAAAGAAGCGTTTCACAGCGTTAGCATCACTTTTGCTCTGGTTACCCTGCATTGCCGTGCCAAACTTGTACAGTTTGAAAAGATGCAGTGTTTGAATGTTACGGCTAGACGCATAGCAACAGACACCCTCACATTCATGTGCTTTGGACAGTCACAGAAACACTGCATGTTGTATAAACAATCGTTTCAGCATTTGAGGGGAAAAAAATGTCAAATGGTGGTAGAAAATGAATCAACTGGAGTGAAGAAGATACTGTTTAATTTTTACTTTTATAGTCCGAAAAGTCCATTCAGGAAAAAAGGCAGTTGGCAATATATATATAAGTGACACCACAAATAATAGTGTTAATCCAGGGTTTAGAAACATATCAGCATATGAATACCCAGGTTTTACTGTTAACCCCGGGTAAATAATGAGCAGTGTGAAATGTGTCACAAGATAACCCATGATTCTGTTTAGAATAGGATTAAAATGACCCAGGGTTAACTATTGCAAGTGTGAAAAGCCCTATTGTCGTTATTTACAAATGTCTTATTTTCTAGCGAGTTTTGAGTCATTTGACCAGGGGTTTACAAACTTTTGATGCCCTTGAATCCCATTTATGATGGTCCCATTGCAAGGGACCAAAGGCATTTATATATATTCACTATTTGTAGACTCTATGTTTTTTCTAAAGTACTTTTAGATATTTATAAGAACTGAAGAGAAACATAAAATGTTGACTGTCTAAAATAATTCTTAGGATTTCTGACCATTAGAAAGAATAAACTGAAATAATGTCATATTCTGTACACTGGAACTTTTTTTTTATATATATATTCTGAACTTTCCCACAGACCTAGCACTCCCTTGTGGCCCACTAGGGGTCCACTGAACCCAAGAAAGAAAGTCACACAAGTTTAGAATAGCATAAGTGTGAGTAAATAATGACAGAATTAAATCAGTTCCAAGACTTCAGCTTGCAAGTAAATGGTGCAGATCAGACTGTAGCTCCTCTATGACTTTTATTTGAATCAATAGCGCATCAACCAAAGCCAGTAGATACAACACACTCATTATTACTCACCATCTTGTAAAGTGGTAATTGCATCCGTCTCTTGGCTGTACTTGCTGTCTCCGACGTCATTAGTCGCCATCATTCTGAGCTTGTATGAAGTGAAGGGTTTCAGCCTGAGGGATTGTACAGCTCGTGAGCTCTCTCATATTGGACAAAGACCTTTCCCATCACAAATGATGTGGCTCAGCAGTGCATGTATGAGCTAGTATCTATAAATGTCACGGACACAATCCATTGAATCCCAAGGGCATGCGCTGGCAATTACATAGTTTTATCTTAAAGCACTTGAGGCAGAGAGGTGAGGACGGAAATAAGATACGAAACACTTCATATCGGAGAGCTCATATAAAGACATGAGTGCAGCATATGCCACTTCATAAAAACGAAATATGTTATGAACAACTGAGGTGGTGGTAAATTATGTCAGGGAATGCAGTTTAATAGGGCTGCACAATTAATTGGAAAAATAAGTTTTTTAAATTAGATTTAATTATATTATTTAAATTATAAAATATATTAATATTATTATTTGAATAATATATGTCATTTTGGTAACACTTTAGAATAGGGAACACTTATTCACTATTAACTACGACTTTTCCCTCAATAAATTCCTAATGTGCTTCTTATTAATAGTTAGTAAGGTAGTTGTTAAGTTTAGGTATTGGGGATGCAGAATAAGGTCATGTAGAATAAGGCATTAATATGTGCTTAATTACTACTAATAAATGGCTAATATTCTAGTAATATGCATGCTAATAAGCAACTAGTTAAGAGACCCTAAAATAAAGTGTTACCGTAATTTTTAATTTATATTATTATAATAATATATACTATAGAAAATAATCAACAATTATTATTTTTTGTCATAATTGCACAGCCATACTTTCTAGACTTCTTCAGCTAATTTAAATTAAAATTTACACTTACATTTATTTATTTAGCAGATGCTTTTATCCAAAGTGACTTACAATTGGGGAATAAAGCAATTTTCAAGTTTCATATTACCAAGTTTCAAGCATTGTTCAAATAATTACAAGCAGACAATGAAGAACAGAGAAAAAAAGAGTTGTTTTTTTAAATTATATTTTTAAAAATACAATTAATTAAATATAATATAATTAAAATATATTAACATTATTATTATTTGTTATATAATATATAAAATATGAATTAGATATACATTTACAATAGAATTTTAAAGGATTAACAATAATCAACAATTACTATTGTCATAATTGCATAGCCAAACTGTCTAGCATTCTTCAAATAACGTTAAGTATAATTAATTAAATATAAAAAATAAATAAATATAACATATTAATAATTTAAATGATTATAATAACATACACTTCATAAATAATCAAATCAGCCCTATTGCTTAGCCTTCTTCAATCACTGTGCTGAAAATCACAGGCACAAAACTTCTTGATTTTGACAGTAAAGGGAATATGTAGGAAAAAATTTCACTTTAATTTCTAATTTGTTCATTTCCCATTTCCCCAAGACACACTGCACAAGCCAGTTGGGCTCATTAACGAACTAAACATGTCGTTTAGACTTCATAACCGATCTCTGTCGATTGAGATGAGTTGCACGGGCGCTTTCCAAAACGAGGGGGCTTTCTGCTATTCGTATTTGCTTAGTTAAAGGGAATATTTTTCCCATGATGCCCCACTCCTAAAAGCCTCCAGCTGGTAAAGACACAAATCAGTCCTGAATAATCCATTTAGCAACAATCTGGCTGTTTAAAAAAGCACTCAAAAGCTGATGGCTGAGAGAGTTTGCAACTGAGAAAGGGGACTCATCATAAACAAGATGAGATGGCCCTCTGAATGCATATAAAATACTATTCGACTGCCCATATAATCATAGCTGCGGATCCGACATAACTCATATGCAAAAAGCTGGAGCGCCCGTAGCCCAACGTACTGATTGTTTCTCACTCTCTCAAATTGGATTGAGAATCATAAATTGCTGCAGAGGAAAAAAGGCTCCTACGCATTTAATAACACTCCCTCCCATACTGCCCTTATTGTACGGCCCTCATGAGCCCTGCAGGGGAACACATGTGGCTTCGAAGCAGCGGAGAGTGAAATCAACTCTGTGAGGGTCATTGGAGGCCAGTCTCTGGGTAAAGCCCCTGGTACTGTTGTTTGTGGGATTGTGGGGGTTGAGAAATGGCAAAAGAGCTCACCTGTTCACTTCCCAGGAGGTATAATTGTGGCTTATAGCAGAAGAATGGGTGAGCCAGTCTCCGTTGGGCAGCTCCCGTGCCTGTAGCGTGAAGTAACGGACGGGAGAGGAGCCGTCCCCTCCGGGCACCCAGTTGAGCTGCAGTTTACGGGACTGTACGTGGTCCTGAGGCACCCGCAGCTGCCGTGGAGGCTGCGGTCGCTCTGATGGAGCAGAGATAGATGTGAAGTGTGAGTTCAGGGGTCAGGCTGGTCTTGCTGACTGTTCTTAATCACGGGACAGGACTCTTCTACCCATGTGTGCATCAGTCAGCGGGTCTCGCCCTGGCCTCTCCACCCCTCCCCACCTGTGTGACACGCAACTGCATAACCTCATCGATTTTAAAGGGAGAAATCAATACGGAGAGGCATAATTGTTTATTTAAAGGTGCGTGGTATCGACCGCCATTAAAGATGCAGATCATGCGCAACGAAAGCCATCGAAAGCCATGATTGCAATGGCCTTGCCCATGCAGCTTTTAAAAGCACCAATCGAGCAGCTTCAGGAGGTCAAAGGATGATATGTAATCACTCTCCATCTCCATCTATCAGTCTGTCTTGAAATTGATTTCTTTATTACCAGTGTAGCAGTTGGGCTGCATATCATGACTCTTTAGTAGTCTAAAATATAGCAAAGAATGATTTGGATCATGCATGCATTGTTAAACTTATATAAACGCTTAAAATCAACAGAAAACAATAGCAATCCATTTTACTTCTGTAATGTGGCTTGGTTTCTGAGGAAAATAGGATCTGTTTTTATCTATGGTGAATGGTTTGGACCGTGAAAAGTAGCTGTTTCAGAATGCAGCCAGACTTGATTGTGAGTTTTCAGTCTATTGTGGATAACTACTTTCCTCCTGAAACACCACCAGCATCTATTTCTGAAGTCGATTTCACCCGTCAGAGCAATTAGGTGCATCCCAATAGCAGAGGCGGACAAAGTACTCAACTCCATTACTTAAGTGAAAGTACAGATACTGCTGGTCAAATATTACTCCATTACACGTAAAAGTTGTAAAGACAGATTTTTACTTAAGTAAAAGTACAGAAGTACTTGCTTTTAAAGGTACTTAAGTACCAAAAGTAAATTTCCTTTTTTATGTCAATGCACATATTTTTTATTGTTGTACGTAATACTTGCAATACCTCTGAAGCAACTTACAATACATTACACCTACTGAATACACTGACTAGCTTGTAGTATCTTTGGAATAAAGAGCTTTTAGAATGTTAAAAACCTATGGGGGAAAAAAAAAACAAAAA